ATTGCGAAGCTAATCAGCAGAGCATGTACAGAAATCTGTTCTCCTTAATCTGAGCCATCTATGGACTTCAGAATGACAAACTTCCAAAGCAGCAAATTAAGGAGAAAAAAAAAAAAAGAAGAGTATTTCAAAATATTGATGATTATTTAAACAGGAGATAAATAGACATTATCTACCTTTACGAAGCAGGACTTCAGGAGCAATGTAATTAGGGGTTCCGACTAATGAGTGGGCTAGACATCTCTGATGTTGCTTCTTAGCTCTTTGTTCCAATGTCTTCAGCCTATCTCCACATCTACAATTGGACACATCATCCCAAAGATCACTGGGCTCCATGCTGTCCTGTCTGATATGACTCCCTTTCAAGTGGGAGAGAAAATTTACAGTTACAGTCATAAAACACAACATGCAAAGAGAAAAGCATTCATCCAGATTTAGTTTGCCATCTTCTAACATCTCTGAAGAACAGCACTTGAACTCTAAATCCAAGGCAATGTCTTCTGCCTTCTTCCCAATTGGTTTTCCATAAGCAGCAGAATGTCTCTGTCTCCACACATGGAAGCATGCTCCCATGCAGGAGACAGAGAATATATTTAGATCAGCTGTACCAATTGTTCATGACCTTTTTGCTGACATATTCCAGTTCTCCTTGATGGCACGCACAAGAAGTACCTAGATTACTTTAAATCTGGGATTAAATTCTTTCACTACCAACAGAGACCCTCTAAACAAGTACGAACTGAAAAACCACTGCCACTGTAGAGCTCAGCCAAACTACTGTCAGGGATTTGAAAAGTATTGGAAATAAAAGACTAGAAACAAACAAACAGAATGAATAAGACAAACCCATCATAATTTCCTGACATTTCTGGCAAGAGGTAACTTAGTTTCAAGATAAAAAGTGCAAATAAGGGCTAAGAACACTAACCTTTCTGGTAGTATTTTGAATTGTGAGTCCACCTGAATCCCGTACACAGTCCGAAGTCAGTCAGTTTGATATGCCCATCGAGGTCTATCAGAATGTTGTCAGGCTTGATGTCTCTATGAATAAAACCCATTTTGTGTACGCTCTCAATAGCCAAAGTGAGCTCTGCAATATAAAATCTAGCAAGACGCTCTGGAAAGACCTCCATCCGAATCAGCAGACTCATCATATCCCCACCAGGGATGTAGTCCATTACAAAGTACAAGTTCTCTTTATCTTGGAAGGAATAATAGAGTTTAACCACCCACTCATTGTCTGCCTCAGCAAGTATGTCCCTTTCTGCTTTGACATGAGCCACCTGGTTCCTGTTCAGTACATCCTTCTTACGCAGAGTTTTCATGGCATACAGGGCATGAGTATCCACTTTGCAGGCCAGACATACTTCTCCAAAGGCACCAATGCCCAGAGTCTTGATTTTCACAAACATAGATTTGTCCATTTTGGCCCTTTTAAGCCTGTTGTAGTTGGACTCCTTCTGGTAGAGAATTTTCCTCATTTGTTCCTGTTCTGCTTCACAAAGGCCAGCCTTTATAAGGAAAAGCAAACCACGACAGCTAGTAAGGTTATATTCACAGCAATAGAACAATAAACTAGCATTCCCAAAACACATTTCTCAGAAAAACTAACCTAGAACCAGATGAGATACTGAAAACAGTCAGTCTCTGGTCTGTCTGTCAAGGTGTTTCATTTGCCATACCTTGATACCTGAATTTACTGTATCTAAGATTGCTATGTGTTTCTCATTCTCATTCTCCTGAGCTACAAGGTATTGGGCAATACTGTCGGAGGAACATAACAGAACTGATCTGACCACAAGATTTGGATTTTAACTCTCAGTTGTGCACTTCACCAATACACTCCACTGTCTGTATGCACACTGCAGCACAACTTAAACTGAGATGCAGCAGCTCCCTTGGTTCACTAATAGCTCTCCAGAGCAACTCACATGAAACCTTCCTACCTAGCAGTTGTCTTTTTCATAGCAATTAAGAAACTATTTTTGACCAAGTATCTTGCGAACCCTCTTTCTTCAAAACCGTTTTTCTTCCTCTGTCATACAGAGCCTCCACTCCCACACTTGGCAGATCTGTATCTTCCCTCCCAAAATATAGGTATATAACCCTCAGCTCTGGCCTCCTCCCAGACACTGAAGCCAAGATCCAGGTCCTATTTCTCTTTTAAGTGTACTTTTTCCCTTTGAACCTGAACAGTAACAAAGCTGGCTTGTCCAGACACCATCTGTCCCCATAGAGTCTTAAAGTAATTAAAAGTAACATTTCACATGGCTGAAGGGGAACATCTCCTGGAAAAGCAGAGAAGTACCCAGCTGGACTTTCCTCAGGCTTCAAGATAGAGCCTGCACAATTTTGCCTTCAGTGCTCGTCTGAGAACACTGTCAGCCTTTGCCAGCAGAAGCCCCTAGGCTGACTTCCAAGGTCCTCTGAGAATTCCTATCCACAGCAGACCCTCTTCCTTTTGAATAACCTGAATCTTGAACTGTAATAAGTGAAGCATTTTGAGGAAGATTAGTGAGTGATGGAAGAGGCAATGGGGGATGGAGATGAAGCTGACTGAGGAGCAGGATAAAGACCCAAGTATTTTCCCACAAGGCTGCTGCTTTGACTGAATTCTTCCATTTCACACCTGCAGTCGAGGCCATTACAGATAAAAAGTGGGCAGCCAGACTACGCAGCAAGGTCCCCACAGCTTAAAAATGAAATCCATATGAATAAAGGATGAAGGAGGTCTGAAAAAACTCGCAGAACAGGTAGGGTGCCTCAATCCATAATAAAATAAGTGTTTATTGTTTTAATGCAAAACAATTAGTGTGTTGTATTCTTGGCTAATTCTAGAATAATGCGATATTCAGATGGCCAAAATCTCTTGAGTTTGTGGTGTGTTATTCCAGCCAGAGATGAGGTTGCTAGGGGAAGGAGCTGTTTTTTGTTTATAGTTATCTCTGAGTTATGAAGTGAACAAAAGCTGAAGGGCCAGAACAGAACTGATGCTGTTAGTTTCTTTTCTTATTTCTTCAGAGACTGTTCCCCAGCTATCTCAATCTTAGGAAAATACTCACTAAATCCAAGCAGTGCAACACAACCTATAGTTGCACTAAGGACAAACTATAAACTGTCACTACAATACTGACCTTTCAAGAGATTTTTAGAAGCATTAAATGTAACCTCAGCAAACAAACCACTGGATTTTCCTGAGCAGAATCACACAATTGCAGGGGTTGGAAGGGACCTCAAGAGACCACTGAGGCCAATCCTCCTACTAAAACAGGCTCCCTACAACAGGTGCACAGGTAGGCATCCAGACAGGTCTTGAGTATCTCCATAGAAGGAGAGCAGTGTGAGTATCAAATTAATTGACTCCAGACAGTTCTAGGGAAGATCAGGTAAGTTATTATCCATTATGCATTAATAACAGCTTTCCTTAGAGTTTGTCCTTAAATACAAAAGTAGACTAGTCATATTCTAGCTAATCACGCCTGAAGGGAAAAACATCAAAAACTTTTCCACACTTAAAAACTAAAAACAGAACTGCCAGAGCAATCATCAGAACTTGGCAGCTTGCTTCAGACAGCCCTATCAGTGAGTCAGTTTGGTGCTACTACGAGACGTGAATGAAGCTCTCAAAGTGCACCTCACTGAGACCTGCTTCTAAAACAAGTTCCAGCAAAGGTTCCAAGATCATTTCAGCTGGCCAAGAGATGATTACTTGCATGGTGTTATTACTAACATATGTTCAAGAGACAACTTTCAGTCAGGTATTATATATTCAAGGGAAAATATAGCATAGTAAATCTACTGCCAAGTTAAACTGTGGTTTTGGTGAGTAAGCAGTCGCTATCATGGAATAGGCAGGAAGAACTGGAGCAAAGAGAAAACCTTTCTCAGATTTTTTCAAGGACTGTAATGTATTGTCAGTTACCATGGTCTCAAACCAGGCTGCTGAGTCCTTTTCTATGCAAGCTTAACACTTTCCTACTACAGGTGTCCCTGCTTTATTTTACTTTTCTTGTATGAGGACATACTACTTCTTCTCTCAGCTTTTTCAAACAGTCTTCCTGATCTGCACCAAGGCTGCCAAGTGAAAACAGTCTGGAACAGGGAGTGTTGTATATCTATTATCACTTCCCAGAGAACTCGCCTTTATACATTTTTTGAGTGATTTAAAATAGTAATAGTTAATTTGACCCTATTTATTATATATATATAAAAAAATTACTTTAGCCATTTCTTGCTCCAATTGTAATCTTCTGTTAATTTTCTGCTGGTAGGTTTTTATGACATTTTCTACATGTTGCTCCATATAGAACTTGAAAGCAAATGGTGAGTAGCTCTTTATTCGGGATTCTCGCTTTTCCTCATCTTTGCCATTTTTTCGCACGGGCACTGGAGATGTCTGGATCTGCTTTTTATCCTTGCTTGGTTTTTCAGCTTTAGTGTTCTTGCTGTTTTTGTCGTTTCTTTCACTGTTCTCCTCAGCCTTATTGCACGTCGAACTGGGGACTACACGGAGGGTCTGCTCTACACCCATGCATAAGCAATTGATATCAAACTGCTCAGAGCTGCCGGGAATTAACAAATGCTTGGGATATGGCGGTGGTGGACACCGCAGCTCCTGGTTACCATAATCCACATCTAATTGATAGGCATTGGCCGCTCCAACAGCTGGAACATGCTGTTCAATGATCTCTAGGCCATCCACGGCCGGTGCCTGGGCAGGTAACCAACCAGGATGGGAAGGTCCCACTGCAGTCTGAGGCTCCGGTCTCATCACTCGCATGCTCTTCACTGGCTGGAGAATATGAGCAGATGTGACCGCTGTGATTGTATTTGGAGATGTAATTGAAGGATCAGGTTTTCCTGGAGGAACCTGTCTCATAGACACGGTCACTTGTGGTTGTTGCTGATGGTTGTTAAAGGAGTTTGTTCTGCTTGGCACTGAGGCATCAGGTCTGAAGGACACGTGTTGCCGTGGAGATGATTCTATTCCTGGGTTTTGTAAAGAATCTCGTCGTGAAGGCGTTGCTGCCTGCCACTGCTGAACTTGAGGATTATTCATGTCATAGAGGTCCATGTTCAGACTATTTCTAGATGGAGTTAATAGATTTTGTGGTGGGCTGTCTGAAAAATCATTACCAAATGCTGGACCTCTGGATATCACGTGCATTTGATGGGAGGGAGGACTTGTTTGTTTGTGATGAGAATGTGACATATACAGGCTTGCCGGTGCCTGCTGAAATGCATGACTGGCATTATTCTGAACAACTGCCCCTTTATTTGGGAGATTGGCATAACCTCCCTCCTGCTGCATCTTGTTTTGGAAGGATGGACTCCGCTGAACTCCATACCCCATGGGCTCCCCCTGCACCATCATGTGCTGCCTACTGTAATGTTGGCTGTTGGTGCCATGGGAGGCCTGCAGCTGCAAGGCTGGGCTGCTGTGATTAGACACGGGATAATTAATCACAGAAGACTCAATATTTGCAGGGTATGTTTTCTGCTGATGGCTTGTTGGAGTGCTGTGAGTGCCTACGCCAGAGGGTCGCTGTACAGGCGCATTCATAGCAGCAGACTGTGAAGCAGAGATTAAATAGTCCATGTATGGCCGTGGAACTTCAGTGAGCATATTTGCACCTTCTGCTGCAAAGCCTGTCCCTTCATAGGCTGCATTACTGATCTGATGGTAGGACGGAAAAGATTCGCTCGATCCTTCGAAGCTTGGCCTGCGAGTTACATTATTTGGCACAATACCCTTTCCTTTATAAAAAGAACACAGAAAAATATTAGGAAACAATTCAGGTGAAGCAATTACTTTGCATTACTCATCCACCTATCCACACACATGTACACAGTCTAAGGATTATGTGCTACAAAAAAAACCCTATCTCCCAAAACCTAAATTAAGCACTCTCAACAATCAAAGTGATAGGTGCCAAGTATTACCACCAATAACAAGCCACTGGCTCACAACACTGATCATGCCAGGAATCATCAGGGAGTTCTACCAAATAATCAGAATAGAAGCACAAATTCCTTTACTATGAAGTCATCAGATTACACTTCAGCCTCGTTTTTAAAGCTGGACCAGCTTTCACATTGCTGCTCATTGCCCACAGACAGGAGGAAGCTACAGAGCAGAGGGGTATGTGCAGCACAAACGGGGAAAAAAGCTCCCTGAAGCACTGTCAGTACAACTTGAAATCCACACTGCTTTAAGCTACCAGGTAATCAGCCTGCTTCCTTCTCTACAGTGAGCTCATTGCTCATGCTGGGGATCTGTTTGTATCTCTCTGTTCCACAATGCTCCTCAAACATCCTTGTTTTCTACTCTACTTCATTTACAACAAAGGTGTAATGCAGCTTATCCTATCTTCTTTCCAATGTGTCGGGCAAAGAATGTCCCCTCAAATCACATTTTCCTGCTGTTCAGTGTGTCAACATGCTAATCTCAGCTTGAAGGACTGCAGAGACAAGATACCAGCATTCCTGTGCTGGAAGTGTTAATAGCACTTTTCATCAGTTCTCTCATCTGTGGACAAACTGTGGGCACAGAAAAAGATAGAGAGATACTCTGAGCTGGCTTTTTGTTCCCGCTCTGGCTCTTTAGCTTTCACAAATTGTAGGACTTGGCCCATGTATTCTTGAACAATTTCCTTTTAAAATCTTGATTTCACAAGGTCCGCAAGGGCAGTCGTACTGCACTAACAGGCTGGACTGCTGGATTGAAAGCTTATTTGCCTTACAGCGTGTCTCAGCTGGGCCAGGTGCAGCACCCTTATACACTGCTGTGAACTCCTCACCTGCATACACACAAACTCACAAGAACATGCAGAACATTAAGCCAGGCCTATGCACCATTTCTGCACACTGAAGAGGCTGTGCCCGTACTAAATGACGCATCATGAACAATGCCATGTTTTGAAATTAAATGAAGTTGGACAAATTATCAATGTTCTTTCAAGTGTCATCTATTATCAGCAGCAGTTTTTCCTGTGATAACATAAGGGCACACTTCCAAGGCTGTACTTACAACTACTCCCTGGAAACTGATCTGCCAGAACACAATGAGATGCACTGATAAGGCTGTGGCAATCCAAATAATCCTAAGAAGTGGCTGCTTTGGGCTGGATGTGGGAGGCAGCCACATGACCCTTTTGTCATCTCCGTCATAAAGAATCATTTGGAGCCTCAGGGACAAAATGACTTTGTTTTCTCATAGGCCACTGAGAAAAGCAGCAGCAATAACTGTCATCTTCTGGGACATATTCTTCAGCTGCACAAAGAATCTTGCTGATGTAAGGAGAGGTATGAACTCTAACTCTGAGATTTGTAAACCAGTAAGTCTGTTCTGGTCTGTCTAAGGAATATTTGGAACTGTGAAGATACCAAATATATTAGCTGCTGATGATTTTTTTTTCCCCTGCACATTCCCAGCCAAAAAGGTTACAACCATCTCTTGCCTGTGAAGTGTTCTAACCTCTAAGATTCATTAACTGTACTCATGGCATCAACTCTTTCTATATATAGTCTCTGTCCAAAAGAAACGCTATTAATTTTTAAGTCTTGATGGTATGCTAAAACTCATTAGCTTTACTATTAAAGTAGGACTAAAATGAGTAACGTGAAAAATCTATTTCCATATACCAATACATGAAATTCAGAACTGTGAGTTTTACATTCCTGAATTGCAAACGGAAAGTTCCCAGGTAGCATTACATGCTCCCCAATCAGCTGCAGGAGACCTGTGCTATGTTAGCACAAACAATGCAACATCAAACAGATCAGTATGCTGCTGCTGAACTGTAGGCAGGCAAACATCATTTGCACGATATTCAAGTTTTGCATTCTACGTACCTAAAAGTAAAGGCAGATCTGCTCATAAGGTGAAGGACTCAAAGCAGCTGCATGTATTGGAACGTTAAAAAAGCAAAACCAACAACGGAGTCATTAAAGCTTTTTGCCTGGAAAGACTTTTTAACCCTTTTAAAAGAGATGTACGTTATTTTTGATGTTTGCTGGTCGGGCACACGCAGGGCCCAAATCCTCCCATTTAATTTATATAGAACAGAGCTAAAGCTGACTAGCAGGGATGAGTGAAAATTTTCTGCCACCTTGGCCTGAGCTATTTCTGCAGTCTACTCACAAGGATGCTAACATGAATGACTTCCTAGGAAGTGAGATTCACAGCTCCACAGCAATTATCTACGTGCAAGCTTTTACCTCATGTTAGACTCAAGATGGTTTAGGTGACTTGCACTGAAGGACAGACAGCTTTGTGTTTAGGAAGGAGGATATGAATGTGCATGCAGATGGCTTTTGCGAAGAAGGTGCGCTATGCTCACTTTGCAGCCCAGCTGAGCATAACCACTTTCTGCAAGACTACTGTTGGACACTGCCAGTTTCTTTCTAACAGCAACAAGTTTACTCAAAAACTAGTTTATTGCGAGAAAGAACAATTTAAAGAAAACTTCATGCTTACCTGGTGAGGTCTGCTTAATTACACGTACTATCTGCTCATTTCTAGGATCCAAGTAGCCCATCTTACTGATGTATTCCAGAGCTGCTTCAATACTTCTGCTACCTGTCTGCTTCAGCGCCCGCACAGCCATTTCCTGTATAAAGCAAATACAAACTGAATCACTCTGAGACAAAGCCCAAACATTTTACTGCAAGCTAGAAAGCAATAAGCTGTCTTAAACTTACAGAAACTACTTGTAATTTACACTGCTAGTAGCTGTCAGAAGCCAAATGGACTCACATTTTGAAAACACTTGTTTACCCTATACAATTAAAAAATTGAAAGAACCACCAACTTCAACCTATCCAAGTTCTAGATCTGGAAAAGTCAGCACAGTTTGACTTAGTGTGAAACAGAAGGAAGTACTTGGCTTTTGGTATTTGAAAGCACGTCTCTCTAACATGCCAGCATCTCTCTATACAGTGAGAACAACTCTGAACTTCCCCAAACACCACAAGAGCTAAGTAGGCAGAGACTGATCTATGCTGGGCAAATCCTGGCCCCACTAGAGGCAATGGTCTTTGCAATACTGCTCACTATCTACGTGGCAAAATACTAGCACATTAAGCTGTATTTCACATTATTGGCCTTTCAAACTGCATTTCAGTGGGCACACAGTCATTAATGAAAAATTAGTATGGGTGCCAGGCAAAATTAAATACTCCAGTTGAACTACTCCATCATAATTGCTGTTAGTGTGCCCCGCTCTCCAGCCAGGAAACCACTCTCCTGGAGTTTGTTTATACACTTACTTATGGCTCAGGTATATACAAAAGATTTCAACAGTGACTCTCCTCTGACTGTAAAGTAAAATTTGCAAATCCTCACAGGGCTGCAAGGTCTTTTCTGAAATGATGGAGAAAGTGAAATCCAGCATGAATTCATAGCATCGAACTTCAGCCCATCAAAAAGTCAGATTAACTTGTCTAAAGTAGTTGCCAAGAACTTCCAGGTACTTCCGTAATTACTTCCATAATGCAATTTATAAGACAGAAACAACAGGAGATAAACTCATCTTTGGTAACAGACAATTAGAAGACTAATTTGAACCAGATCATTAGCTCTTAGATAGCAGAATTTGCATGAAATAAATGTTACTGTCAAGGAATTGCCAGCAAAGCTCACTACCTTTCCACCTTATTGCCATTTTAGGGGGCTTGTCTTGTTTAGTATCTTTATTGAAGACCTGGACAAAGGGACTGAGTGCACCCTCTGTATGTTTGCAGATGACACCAAGTTGGCAGGAAGTGTTGATCTGTCTGGGGGTAGGAAGGCCCTACAGAGGGATCTGGACAGGCTGGATTGTTGGTCTGAGGCCAACAGGATGAGGTTCAACAAGACCAAGTGCTGGGTCCTGCACTTTGGCCACAACAACTCCAGGCAATGCTAGAGGTTTGGGGTAGAGTGCCTGGAAGACTGTGTTGAGGAAAGGACCTGGGGGGTGTTGGTCGGCTCTTGGCTGAACATGAGCCATCTGTGTGACCAGGTGGCCAAGAAAGCCAACAGCATCCAGGCTTTTATCAGCAATAGTGCAGCCAGCAGGAGCATGGAGGGAATCATCCCTCTATACTCGGCTCTGGTGAGGCTGCACTTGAGTGTTCAGTTTTGGACCCTTACTACAAGACAGACATTGAGGCCCTGGAATGCGTTCAGAGAAGGAAAACAGATCTGTGAGGGGACTGGAGCACAAATCTTGTGGGGAGCGAATGAGGGCCATGGTTTAGTGGGGAAATACTGGTGGTAGGTGGATGGCTGGATTAGATGATCTTGAAGGCCTTTTCCAACCTTGGTGTTTCTATGGTTCTATGATTCTCCCTTGAGACCTGCCCAAAGGCACTAAGTCAGATGGAATTTGGCTCGCTGGCTGCAGACGTGCTGGCTGTGTTGGTACAGCATTGCAAACACCCAGCTCTCCAACAGGGCAGGGCTGTGTGTTGGATTGCATGCAGGTAACCTCAGCACATGTGCCCCTCTCCACATCATCTGGAGCAAAGAGCTTTGCTTGGCTCAACTGCAAGCGCATGTTACATTCTCACTCACTGTTTACCTAGCAATGGAGGATGGTCTCAGATGACACTAATTCACACTTAGCACAAAGCCACATGCTGGCACTTGGCATTTAGTTTCACTTAGCTCAGTCTCCTGCTACTCCCCCCAGAATGGAAGTATTTTCTCCATTACTCAGAGGTTCTGCTTGGGGAATAGCTATAGCAAGTTTGAATATTTTTCATACAATTTATGAGTCATAATTCATAGAAAGGCAGTAGTTGGTTTCACATTTCCTATAGCTGAAATATTTCACTGGCATCAACACATTACTAAGTGCAATTTTAAAACAAAAAAACTATTATGCATGAAGGAAAGAATTTCCCACAATGTTCTTTTCCCCTATCTTTTTTCTTTTTCTGGATACATTTCTGAAGCATTAGCAAATCCGTATCTCAGTGCTCAGCAGTCTCACCATCAAGGGGCTCTGGCTGCCTGCACACTGCTCACTGACACTGGCTGGATCTGACCTTAGATCACAAGACTTCAATTTCCCCAAATACACAACAAGGTCTCCGAGCTGGATCTTGAGCTTTTTTGGTTTCGTCTGCTATGGGGTACCAAGAGAACAAACATCTGGTAAACAATTACCATAACCATTAATAAAAGTCTACATAATGCACTTCTCCCCATCTTAAATATGATGGCTCTACAGAATTTAGAGAAGCTAAAGAACATGGCATTTTATCACCACCATAATGATAATATCTCAAATAACAAACCTTCCCTCCTACACTTGCACTACAGTTCTTATCTTTTGCCACTGCCACTGTCAGAAGACCAGCAGCATTAAAATGACAACGGTTTGCTCACAGCTGTGTGTTCTACCTTTAGCAGGAAAAACAGGGGATTCATATTTAAATTTCAGTGGGAATAGTGGGAGGGAAAAGCCCAGACCATTTCAGAACAGACCATATTTTAACCTGGGACAGCCAGCAAGAGCTTGAGACTGGTGGATGTGTCAGTGACAATCTCACCCTTGTGTGAGTGACCTTGTGTGAGTGACAATCTCAGCCCATCGTGTGGACAGCAGCCCAGTACACCAGTTTTCCGCCTTTCATCTTCATGAGTCAACTCCCGCTCTCAGAAGGGTTTCCTCATCACTGACCCTGTCTGCTCAGCATTTACATTGCTGCTGGAAAAATGTAAGGTTTCTTGTGGTTCAAAAGAACACCTGTATTCCCCAAATCCCATAGCTTTGGCCTTTTCCCCCCACAGATATCATGAGGCACACACAACCTCTGTTCATGAGGTCAGTTCCCAGAAGGCTTGCATCATCTCTAAGCACATGGGGGTTGACAAACAAAAAATAAAGATTTCATGTAGAAAAGGAGGGGAAACAGTGCAGAAAATGAATTAAATAGCATCGACAACTGCAATTATGGGAGGCTAGAGGTTGGGGGTAGAGGTTTAAGTCAGATGGAAGGTGTTTGTAAGAAGGAGCAGAATGAGCTCAGGAAGGAGAGAAATCAATGCCACAAGTTTGCAGACCGATACTGGAAACAACAGAAAGGCTGGGAAACAACGTGATAGACACTGGACAGGGAGAAATGTGCACAGCTACACTGACACAGCCAGAGCTGTCTCAATGATATCACTGCAAGGTAAGTACATTTTAGAAACAGTAGGAAGTGAAGACCAGAAATGAGACATGAAAAAAATATATATCCATTTGGAACAGTATCCAATGCCAAAACATTCAAGTAGGCACAGGACCAAATCCAACTCCCACTGAGGTCAACAAAGGTTTCCATTAACTGCAAGGTACACTGCTCCAGGTCCTCTGTTTCTGCTCGTTTCCCTTTCAGCACGCCAAGCGCTGTCAGTTACAGCACTGCTGAGAAACCCAGCCCCTGGCTTCATTCTGCACACCCTGCAGCCAGCTGTCAGGGTCCAAGCACAAACATGAGCCCTGGCAGCATGCGCCCAAACCACCAGGGAACAGAGCAGTCCTGGCCCCAGCTCATTCTTTGCATTCTGTGTACTGCCCTTGCAGGATTCAAACATCTCTCTGTGCAAGCCCTCATGCACCTTTTTGCCTCTAGACACTGCTGCTGGTGAGAAGAAGAAAAAATAAGTACAGAAAGAAAGCGTGCTGTTACAAACAACTAATAACTTCATAATTAATGTTACAACTGTGATATTAAAATGAGGTTTCAGTGGTTAGTTGTGGTTCAGGACAGACCTAATGGAAAACTAGCGTCAGGCAAAGAACCACAAAGTTACCAATGTCATCTTTGTGGACTGGGGCAGCTCTGCAAAATTCCAAATTTGTGGGTTCACAAAAAAAAATGGGAGAGGGGCTGCTTCTCAGCTAGAGTCTCCAGCAGCCACCCAAACCAGAGAGCTGCACAGCCAGCATGCTCAGCAATTTCCCCATTCCTGTGTCTGCAGAAAGCAGCTTGCCAAGCCGCTTCAGGATGTTGTTAGAAGGAAAGGCACCTTTCAGCTTGGATGCTCAACAGGGAAAATCCTTGTTTAATGGTAAACAGATATTTGGACATGTGCACAAAGAGGCTGCACCTCTCTCTGTGCCCACAGACAACGTGAAAGGCTTCCTCTGCTTTACCCTCCTGCCTGGCCTCGCTCCACCAGCACTGGCAGCGGCGAGCGTTCTTGCTCTACTACAGGGTTGTCCAGCAACATTTTTCATTCAGAAGGCTCCCAGTTGCCAAGATGCATTTATCATCCAAGTGAAGATTGCACAATAAGTAAGATCTTTTCCCAAGAACATTGTGTCTGAAGGAGACAATAGGTCCTCCAAAATTTGGCAAAGGCAATTAATTGCTAACAACAACTAAAAATTAATTACTCACTTTCCATTCACAATGAAGGATGGGCAACAGATGCAGAAAACAGATACAGGTTCCCTCCGGAAGGGAGAAAAATCAGACTCATGCCAAAAGGCATGCTCCAGAATTGATTATGAACCTTTCAGAGACAGTCCACCACTGTAAGAAATTTCATTCATGATTTTAAACGTGCAAAAACTAAGAAATTCAGGAAATAATGTGTACAATACAGTCTGTTGGAATTACTGCAGC